TTAAAAAAAGCTTTGGGTTAAAATTGCTGGTTTGTTTTGGTTTTTTTTTTTTTTTTTTTTTTTTTCCTTCCAAAGGGATTATTTTCTAGAAAACTGATTTCATAGGTGGTATATGGATTGGGGGGTGGGGGTGGGGGAAGTCTGGCAATTTTTTTTTTTTCTGTTTCTGTGAGGGATTAACAGCCCCCCAAAATGTACACACCTTTTCTCACACTTCCCCTATTTCTCAGAAAAAAGCCATGAAGTAACCAGGTGTGAATCAGAACAGCTTTTTCATTATTCCGTGCAAATCTGTGTGCAAGCGTTCTTTTTCCTTATTGAAGCTGAGGCAAGATTCAGATTTCTTAAAAAGCACACGCTTTTCTCAGCATGTAAAGCAGAGGTGTGACTTTAATATTGTCATTTTGGTGCTTTGCGTGAAGACTGGGCTCTAGGGAAGACAATGTGTAAGTGGTGCAGGTGTATGATCTAAAGCTTTCTGCGAGGGTACTCGTGAGGGAAAGATTCAAGGATTCTAAAGCTGACTCTAATATTGCAAGTATTCGTACATGTTAATGATGATGTTGCAGTAGTTGCCCCTAAAGCGGGAAGTTGGTTCGGTGGTGCTTCGGTCCTCTTCTGTTTCTGCAGCTCTGAGCACCTGTGGGGACAAGGATGGAGCATGAAATGCAAAATTCGTTTGAGTTATACTGTGCCTTGAGCGTCTTCAAAATGTGTACTCTGCCCGCAGGAAGCAAAACAGCTAAAGTTAGTTGAGAAGAACTGTTACGGGATGATTTGATGTATTTTATGGGAATAAATTCAAATACGGATTTCCAGGTCTTGCTGTTTTATTTAAAGGGCCATTTTAATGACTTTGATGATAATGATAATGAGTTGATGGTAAACCTCCTGTTATATTGAACTAGAATTTAGTTTCGTTCTTGGCTCTAAACAAGCAAAATTGTCAATAATGTGTTTGGAATGAATAGAAACGTTTTGTTCGTGGTTGGGTACAGAGAACAAATACGAGGTTTCCTCATTTTCAATACTGTTTGTACGTTCTGGGCAACACTAACCAAAACATGTGTGGACACATAAGCTGCGCCATCTCCTGTGCTGTGACTCTCTTTCAAATGAAGTTTATGTCCTGAAGACGATCTTTATATTTTTTTTCTGCACATTATATGCAGGTTCTCTTGCCCTCCTCTTTTGTAGGACACTTTGCTCTGTGAGTTGTCCCACCAAAGTCAGTTGGAGCAGTAAAAGACAGTTATGATTCAGTGTCAGGATTTTGTGTCTTCCAAATGTGAACCTTCAGACTGTGCGGTGGGACCCTTTGTGCCCCAAGCAGTGCAAATCCCTGGGAGGGGGACACACAAGTATGGTTGCTGCTGCAGTTTGGATCAGAGCCCTTGTTTATTTGGTCTGAACGGACAGGAGTATAGAGGGGACTGAGGCTTCAGTGAGCAAATTCCTTGTGAAAAAGTAGGTTGCAAGTCGCAGGGTTTTGTTGTCTGATTCTAGCTCTTGGACCTGCAGTTTGCCTTGCAGCACAGATACGGCCACTGGAAACTGGAGGGGAGAAGGGTTAAAGAGCCTTCCCTTTCACCTTGCGCAAATATGCAAGAAATACTTGGACAAGAACGCTATGTCAGGAGTGCTGTTGGGAAGAGGGACAGCTGTTTGTTTTTTATCCTCCCCCAAAGTACAATCTATTTAAATATTTACATTATCTCTTGCTAAAAGACTTCCTTTTCTTTCCTATACTTTTCTGGTTTATTATTAAATTATGAATGGCAGAGAGGGAGAGATTTGTAATTGCTGGTTTTCCGACTTTGTTGAAAAAGTTTATCTATTGTTTTATTTGCTCAGAAATATGGTAGTAGTGTTTTCTAACAGATTTAATGGTTTCACTGGGGCTTGTGCTTTGCTGTTTAATATTATTGCTTCTTCTTCCCATGTACTTTACATATTTTATAATCTTAATAGGCTATCTGAACATACAGTAAAAAGGAAATTTCACACAAAGAGAAAGCAGTGGGAGACTAACATGTAGATGATTTCAGAAGATTAGTACCATAGACAATAAAATAAAGCACTTGTAAATGCAGGAATTATTTTATAAATAGTTCTGAATGGCCACTAGGTCCTTCACTGATTAACACACGCCTGTTCTAGCCTCGGTCACACCCTGTGTATCTGTTCTGCATAGACTCTCTGACTAGGGCACTGCATCTCAAATTGTGTAACTGTTCAAGGCATCTGTGTGTAAGTGCTGGTTTAAAGAATCAGCAATGTTTAATGACATTAAACATCTTGGATTACAAAGCTCTTGCAGGGATGGGGAAAGTAAAAATAGAGCTCCTTAGGCTCCAGAGGAAAGACTTCAGAAGTGGTTAGTATTACACCTAGCAAGTAATCTTTTTAAATCAATAGATCATAGGAGACACTACAGTTAAACACGTCTGTAGCCTTTGTTGGACTAAGGCCTTGATCATTAATCACAGTTCAAAATTAAAGGTGTTTCACTTCAATGTAAAATGAGTTTTACAAGGAATATGTTTTGCACACAATAGAGACCTTCAAGATGCATACTGAAACTAATTTAGCACGAGAAAGAGTCTCTATTTAATGTGACAGTAGACGGTCAGTATTTCATGTTGTTTTTTCATAGATTTTAATTTTGTCAGATGTGCAACCGATGTACAAGAGCTGTTTGTTTTTGAAGAATAGTATGTATATACCCTAGGTAGCCTTCAAAGGGTAAAGATTCACTCCTTCCTGTTGAAGTGACTGACAGAACTGTGAGAGGCTTTGGCAAGGTTGGTACTTCATTCTCAAAAGTTTGCAGCCCTGTAATTGTTATTTTGGAAGTAATCCTTTCTCTTTTCTACAATGGCCCATATAATCCTCTTGTCAAAGATTGTAGCAAAAGTTGCAATTAAAAATTAAGCAGAAAATATATTTTAGTATATGTAGGCTCAGGTGCAGGAAACCCTTTAAGTATGTGCCTGATTTTAAGTGGCTATACACGTGACGGCGTGATCTAAATCTGAAGTACAGCTCGGTTTTAGTTAGTATCCAGAACTCCTTTCAGTCTGGATGACAGCCAGAGTTCAACATCGAAGCGACTTTGGCAACTACAAATCCCAGGGAGCATTGCCATGAGCAGGTTTGTGCAACCGGATTGGCATCCTGCAGGGACCAATGGCAGGCAGAGAATTCAAGAAAATTCATGTGTGTCAGCTGCCAGTATTAAAAACCGCTGGGGAGAGCTGTAGACCTGAGTGGAAATTGCCTCTTTCCCCGGGCTACTTCGAAACCCCTGTGTGCGCTTTGAAACAAGACTCTGTTTTCCACCCTCTGTGCCTCGGCTTGCAAGAGCCCGCTGGACTCGTCCAGATGGATGCGATTCTGAGCTGCAGAGCGGATGACTTGGAAGATTACTACAACTTGCTAGGATGCGATGAACTCTCCACGGTAAGAGCCTTCCCCTCCTCCCCTCCAGGTTAATAACATTTTGAACGTGCTTGTCTGTCTACAGGGGGAATTTGAAGTTGTTTATCTCTGCGGGCAGGACTATTTGAAATGTGTTGCGAACCTTCTCTCTTCCTCCTTTTATCTTTCAGTATCTCCCTTCACAAAGCTCTGTATACCGATGTTCAGATCTTAGAATAAGGCTTATATTAAAACTGCCTTATAAAACAGGATTGTGTTATAGATACAGCTGAAATAATGACTTATCCATTAGTTTAGTTCAACATGTGATATGGTTATGAATCGTAAGCCACAACTGCATCCATTTGACAACATCCAAATAATATTTTTTAATATATTTTTGGTTTCAAAGGATGAAAAAAGCTATTTATATGCAACTAATACAATGAATGTTCATAGCTGTAGGTCACATATGATACTATTGAGTTTCTCAGGTTTTATATGTATTTTTTAAATTTTTTAAAAACTGTTCATTGGTTGGGAGGAAAACCAAAAAAAGTATCTTTTTCATTCATCATATTAGTGAGTTTTAAATGCTAATTTTAATGATATTCAAATACTAGTTTAACTGATTTGTTTTGATAGGAGATACCTACTTTAGAATGAGATCTAACTAAAGCAATTATTGAACAATTTATAGCTAAAACAGGTGTTCTTCTTCCTAAAGGTGTCTATATAACATTTTTGGGTAGTCTGAGTTAGTGGTATGCTGATATTTTTTAATCCAGTTGCTGTATTAACTGGAATTGTGTTCCGATTTTGGAAAAGGAGATTTGATTACTCTGCTGTAATGAAGGACATATTCAGTATCGATAAAAGCTGTGTTTTGCTCAGTAAATGTAATCAGATGCTCTCCATCTGTCCTAGTCGTCAAATGCTCGGAAAATACCTCTGTCTTTCCTGTCACGGGAAGCGTAGTAGTCAGCATCTTCAGTCTGCTACGGAAGGCAATTGAAAGCTTTTCCTGGGATAGCTCCTAAAAAGTCATCCCAGCAGAGGGCAGTGTCAAAGTTTCCATGTAGGCTTGTTTCGCAGATGATATTTCTCATTTTTTACCTCACGCTACTTCTTTAAGGGCTTAGCAAATAAGGAATAGTTCAAGTATGTATGATAACGATTTTCCAAACTGCTTCAAAATGAAATGAAAAAGATGGACTAAATGCTAATGGGTCCTGAAAAATAATCTGTCAAGTATTATTTGTTGAGAGAAGCAGATGTTACTAGATTATTTTTGCCATGGCAGCAGGAACTGAGATCAGAAGTTGACCGAGTACCACAATTGCCTTCCCTCGGGATGGTGCAAACACAACTTCTGAAATTTAACACAAATTTGAAGCATTATAGGTGTTTTGCAGTCACATTTCTTTGTGTATGCGCTCAAGTATTTGCAGCGGCACAGGTTTCCTTAGGCATATATAGCACATTCCCAGCTGCAGTACTTTCATTTAAGGTGCTGAATATTCTGGTCTTAATCTGACCAGGTTAAATTTAAGCACAAATAGTCTCAATTTCTACAGATTTTCCCTGTATTCAAGTAAACACCCATGTTCATTCTTGGCTTCTTGTAGAACTGAGCTTGTGGACAACTAGTTCATCCTCAGACTTGAGAGGAAGACGGGACATTTAATCTACATCCTTCTTCCAACATCGGTGTTATTCATATGTAGTGGGCATTGCATACCTTTCTTGGTTAAAGCATCTCACTGAGTATTTTATATAAATTTCATCTATTTTGTAAAAACTTCCTATGAACTTTTCATTCAACTGATTATTTTTTTTTAAACTGAAGACTTCCACACTACCCCTCTGCTACTCTGCATATTTTAACTTTAAATTTCCCCTTTATATAACTTAAGTTTTAGAGATGGTAGTATACTATATTACTATATAGTAACCAGTTTCAACAAGTTCTCTATACGATGTATGTATTTTGAAGTGTCTTACTGACTGGAAATATACCACCCTATATCTGTCCCTCTGGAAGAAGTTACTGAGAAGAGCAAAAAGCGTAGAATTCATAAAATACCACTGTAGACCACATTTTTCCCAGCATATGACAACAAAATCTGGCCAGCTAGTTGAGTGAACTGTAGTTTTATTCTCAAGAAAAAAGGTTGAGAGCCTTAATTTTGAAATAAATAATTTAAATTGTATATGGATATCAGGGTTTGAAGGATGAGGAACTTATATGAGCAGCCTTTCTGGCGTGGGAAAGAATAGTAGCTAATTGATATCTTAGGGCAAGTTATTGTGAAAGCTTAAGCTGTACTGGAAAGATACAAAGAAATTTTGGCTTCTGAATTATAATAAGAAGCAAGATACTTGGAAAGTCTGAAAATTTGAAAATCTAAGCTGATGCCCACTCCAGTGGTTTCTTGTATTTTGTTACCTGTTAATATGTCTTTGTTTTTCCACTGGTTGCGATACTTTATGGTACTACAGACTGTGTGGGAACTTGTCATTAACTGATACATGCCAATATTCTAATATTGATTATAAATTTATTCTATTCCAAGCCAGCCTTTTTGCCCAGCAAGTTAACTTGTCAGGAAGGATGTGAACTGCTAGTTATCTAGCTTTGTGCTATCCAAGGTGGAAAAGTCATGTGGTACTGGCTAAATTTCCTGTGAAAAGCATACGGTGGAAGCCACCCAATCCCAAAAACTGATCTTCAGCAATACAGAAGCTCTTTGCTTCCTGCAGTGAGACTTTGTTAAAAGTTAGAGTTGATTAAACAAAGTGAAGAGCAACTGCAGGGATGCATTTTGCCTACATGGTCAACTATGAGGAAGGGGTTTCACACACATGATCTTTGCACATTTTTCTTAAAGCCATCTTGCCATATTGGATGACTGAACTTTACAAAAACAAGAATGAGTGCACAGAAAATGAAATTAAATAAGCAGTGTCACTGACAGATGGTTGTTGTTACCTATTTTGCTTGTAGTAAAGCTTGTAAAAGTTAATAGGAAAAAAATCTTTCAGCATTTTTCACTGTTCCTCCCAACCCTTTTCAAATAGCAAATTTGAAAATCTTTTCTGTGTGTGTGTGTATGTATTTACTCACTTTAAATCTTGATATTCTGTTTAGGTTGAACAAATTCTTGCGGAATTTAAGATTAAAGCCCTTGAATGTCATCCTGACAAACATCCTGGAAACCCCAAAGCAGGTATATATTCTTCCCTATTTAAAAGCAATCTATTTTTTTTTCTTACATTAACATGACTAAGATATTAAATTCAGCCTTAAGACTTTATTAAATATTCTTTTCTCCCCAATATATTTTAATTGTCATATGTATCAAGCATATTGTCTTTAAATAGGAAGCTTTAATATTCTTTTCTAACACTTGCACACTCCTAGGCGGTAGAGCAGGAAGACACTTGTTTGATTCCCGCTCCCCACTAGGATTTTCAATTTTTTTTCTTTCTGTGGTAGAACATCTTTTAATCCAGAAGTTATTTATGGAGTGTATCCATTTCTAGACCGATGAAGCTGGCCTGCTTCCATGCTTGGTGGTATTCAAGTGCCATACTTGCATCAACTAGTTAATTTGCTTCCACGAACAAGCCCATCAGGAACACATTAAATGTACTTTAGTTCCTTTTAATGTAATTTAATGACTGGAAATAAAGAGAAGCCAGCACCACAGGAGTAGCCATCTGTTCGCAGAACAGCAGCTAACGTCTGCGTTTATGGAAGCGTGTGGTTCATCAGACCTGTGACGGCTAAGCAGCACCTGAGTTCTTTGGAGACAATCTTACCCATTCATAGCCACATGATAGCTCTAATCAGTGCCCACTGATGTCTGAATAGTTTATATTCTTATAATAAAGGTTGTTCTGATCATAATTATGGTCCCCACCAAAGATTTGTTGTAGAATCATGAAATAAACTTCTCAGTTTGATTAATGCACAAAACTTTTCCTGTGAATTCTTCCTCTTAGTTTAACTCTAAGCTGAACAACATAACCATAAACTGAACAGCACAGACTACCTACTTGTGTGAGTTTGACTTCATCCATGGTCTCCGCTGCGGCAGCAGAGCTGGGAGTATGGCAGATGTCAGAGGCTCCCACTCTGCTGCCTCAGGCAGAGCTCTCACCAGGGCTTGGCTTCCCTTACTGGTGTCCCTTCCTAGCCTAACATCAGAGAGCTGGCAAGGCTAGGGATAACAGCTGAAATAGGTGGGATTTTTCATTTTGAGATTCCCTGATACAGAAGCCCTTCAGATTTGGTGTTTGAGAGACAATCTGCCACCTATTAACAATAACCTGATCACTAATATTTAATTTATTCTAAATGATAGCACAAAACCAATGGAATCAACTTCCTCTGCAGAAAATTCTGGCTATTACAGCCAGGAAACAAGAGACTGTTCCAATGCACGGCCCTGTCTGTCTGCACCACCACCCACCGCTCCCCCCCAAATTAACTGAACTTACTAAGTAACACAAAAAAGGAGGCCAAGTGCCAAGTGTTGGAGAAGCTTTGTTTGTCAAGAAGAAATATGCTCCATTTACCTGAACGTGCTGTATGTACTTTAAATGCCTTTTTACAGTACTGGTGAAAGTTTATATTTTTTATTTCATCAGCTTAAAGCTCAGTAAGAGTAATTAAAGTAGACTTTTTATTTGTTGAAAACTAGTGACACTAGAGAAAGGAAACCTATTAGAACTGTCCCCTCAACCCATTGTCTGTTGTTTTATTTATGGTTATCAATTTTGATTAATGTTTGAACTCCATGTATTTCAAAAGAAATCTCTCTAATTTGTAAACTGCAATAAATGAATCATCATAATAATACATCACTGTAACATAGGTGACTCATAGATAAAATCTAAATCTTTCTAACCCTCTACAAATAGTGACATGCAGCTGCATCCTTAGTAACCGTTTAATGAAAAAAAACCCTGTAGTTAGCATATGCCAAAAACATACCTAATAGAATGCACAAGTTAGTTAATTTGAAGTATATTTAGATTCCTCTTCTTGCTTGTCAATTTTTGCTTGTGTGTCTGCCCCCCCGCCATCTTTTCTTGGTGTTGTGCTCTGCTCTGACTTCCTTGCTGCTGTGGATGTAAGTGTGTCCCTCCTCAGCATTATTGCTCTAGATCAATTTCCCCTTGTGCCTTTTGCCAGCTGTACTCTGGAAGTTTCTCTGAACTTAAATTTAGGCGATTTTGAAGCCAGCAGACAAATGAGGTTTTTAGTCCTCATTTGAAAAGGGTGTGAGTTGTCTCCCGAAGGGGCTCTGATCCTAAAGCCAGCTAAAACTGCAAAGCTGTCAGCAGAACAACCACACACCTTTGTCACTCGGCTCTCCTCCTGTCCTCTCTGCTCTCTTTGTTCTAAGCCATTGCTGGCAGCTCCCCTTTCACATCAGAAGTCATTTCTTTGAAAACAAATACTGGCCTTAGTATTTTTTTGGTTTGTGTTCTAGTGGAGAATTTCCAGAAGCTGCAGCAAGCGAAGGAGATTCTTACTAATGAAGAGAGTCGAGCGCGTTATGATTACTGGCGACGAAGCAAAATTACCATTCCGTTCCAGCAGTGGGAGGCCCTGAGCAATTCTGTGAAGACGGTTGGTGGTGTCTAAGTGTGGGCCTTCAGGAGGAGCCAGGGGTGGGCTGGTCCGGAAAAAACGGTCCAGTGGATCAGTTACAACACTTCTGCTGCAGTGGTGGGTCTGGGGGATGGGAATAGTGCAGCGTGATTCCTGCACTAAGGAAGTCAAGAAAATTCAGGAAAAATTGCAGGACTATAGAAGCCCATTCACAGAAGTGTTCTAGGCTAGTAGTTTTAGTGTGAATTTATCAAGTTGCTCCTTTTATTTTTATTATATGAAGTTTAAGTATGTTAAGGGCTGTTTTCAAATGCTTTGCTTTTGTAGGAACCTTTTATTTATTTTCAAACCTAGGACCTTTGTATAGTATATTCTCCTTTTGGTATATTGCTTATCAGATAGGCTTTGAGGCTATCTGATTAAATAAAGAGCTCATTGAAAAATCTAGAAGGTAGGTTCCTTGGAACCCTGGGCTTCCCACAGGTCTTTGGAAGGGCCCTGCTGGGCTAGTGGGGTGATTTGTGACAGAGACAGATGTTCTGAGGGCTGTTTTCTCTCCTAATTTTGCTAGTGGGATAATTTGGCAGCGTGTTCCTAGTAGATCCTAATTCCATAATGTTTGAATTTTTTTTTTTTCTGCCTTATTAGGTGAATGATAGTTACAAGTCTACACAGTCAGATTTTAAGGCAGGTGAATAAATGTTTCCCTTGGCAATTCTGCCCGCCTCAGTTGCGCTTATGAGAAGTTTGAGAGTCTCTTCAGCTAAAGCATTATGCCTGAGCGTAACTGTTTGCTGGAAGTATCCCATGAAGCTTAGCTCAGTTCCGAGCAGAAGTCATTCCTCAGACTTTAGCATTAAAGTTTTCCAAATTATCTTGCTTTCAAAGGGCACCTTAAAGTCAAAGAGAGCTTTAAAAATGGACATTTTCCAAGTCCCTCAAGCCCTCTTAAAAAAGTGTCAGAAGTCATAACAGAAGAAACTGGATGAAAGACCCTTATAACCTTACAATTACTTGATGCATTTGTACATTTTGTTCTTCATCCCCACCTGAGAGAAACTGTCCTCTCAGATGCTATTTGCAATATGAAACCATGCTTTCCCCTATCCCATTCACCTGCAAGCACCTCTATGTGCTTCGTTTAACCATTTATTACAACAATATATGAAAGAAAAGAGAAGTTTATTAAAAATCTTTTAAAGCATAGGAATTAGTTCTGGTTTTGTTATTTTTTGCATTTCTTTAGTCAATGCACTGGGCTGTCCAAAGTAAGAAGGACCAAATGCTGGAAGCTCCTGACTTGAATAAGACCAACAACATAGCTAATGAGATTTGGACCCAACAGACTGAAAACAATGCCGATGGATTGTCAGATGGGAGCAGGGACCAAGAAGATGTCGCAATTCCTGATGCAAAACCACAGTCTTCAAAGAATCCAGACTCCCCAAGTAAGTGAAACCAGCAGTTACAGAAAACTAGAGTATCCAGGGATTGGCCTGAAATGGAGGCTTTTAGTCATGAGAAATTCTTCTCCAGAATAATATGTTTAACTAGTAGCTTTTTTATTGTGGTTTTGGGTTGGGGTGTTGTTTTGGGGTTTATGTTGTTTATTATTTATTTAATTTTGAAGCTTTCAGACCTTTCTTCCTCCCTACCTCGTGTTTGCTTGCTTGTTTGCTAGTAAACCCAAAAACTGGGGAAGAAGGAAAAAAAATTCTTCTTAAACCAAAATGGAAAGTTCAGTTTTGCTGCTATATCAAAATGAAAAAAAAGGCAATTATTTTCAGTGTGGGTTTCTTTTTTTTAATAACTTTAAAAAATGTTAAACATTTAGGTATAATATTTTTTTTTTTTTTTTTTAATCCAGCATTCTGTATGTATGCACAGTTTGCATCTGATCAGTTAATGAGAACTAAAAATTGAGACTTGAAGGCTTCTTTTGTATTTGAACACGTTTTCTAAAAAATAGCACATGCACTATTGTGTATTTCAAAAGCTGTCATCTGGCCAGGTAGTATCTCCTGTCTGTTGTTTAGGTTAGTACGCCTGAATCCAAGTTTACTTACCACAGCGGCCACCCTCTGTTCTGCTTGATCCTTCAGGAGTTTCATGTTCTTAGGCTTATGTTATCTGAGAACTATTATTAAACGATGTCCTGTCATTTCTTCCCAGCTTGATCAAACAGGAAATTAATTGAACTGTGAGGGTAGGAAAACCTAATTTAATCCCAAACATTTGTGGAATGCAGAAAATAGATAAGAAAATTCTACAAACAAATGTATGTGAAGCATAACCGAAAATTTTCTATTTAAAAATGACGCCCGATAACATTATACTAATTGCTATTTTTTTGGTAATTAAATCATCACTGTGTGCTTTGTAAAGCAGTAAAATTTCAAAGAAAACATCCTCTTGTTTCCTAGTAATGGTGAGCTTTCCTTGCAGGCATCTTTCTCATAATTTTTTGAAGTTTAAATTTAATTTCCATAGATTTGCATGTGAAAAATATCAAACCGTGAAATGCCGATCTAATTTCTTCAGTGGGGATATATTTATATTAATAGATGTTCATATTAGAATATATTTATTTGAGAGGGCTTGTATGCACTTCAGTGTTTGTACTTGACGTTAGGACGTTAATAATGCTTTCGTTTTTGGTCCAGGAAAATTTATTGTATTGGATTCCACTTTTAAACTGGGATATTTTCAGTTCCTGTCTGCTGGTCTGTAACAATTACGGACTACAACTCCATGCAGCTATTTCAGAGAGATATTAACACTAAGTCTGGTAACAAGTTTCAGCTTCCTGATACAGGAGGATCACATTTTTTAGTATTAACAGCCCATAGCGCAGGGTCTGAAAAACTCCTTTACTCCCTTGCGTGTGGACAGGGCCATCTGTACCTTCCCTTCACACTCCTGCCATTCACATAGGTGGAGATTCGTCATATCTCTTTTTCTTTAGATTAAGCAAATGCAATTTGTTCAGTTTTTCTTTGTGAGTCCTATTTTCTGGACTGCCATCATTCTTCCCATTCTCCTTTGGACTCTTCTCAGCTGATACATATCTTGAAGTTTGGTGTTTGCTTGAGTTCTTGTTCAAATTGTGCCAAGAATACAGAGGTTGTCCCTGCTAGACAAGAGCACTGGAAGTGATCAATTTTTTACTTACTTTTGGGGGGGAAGCTTACCAAGTATTATTTCAGACAACTTAGTTTTATGTATGTTTTTAAGAATTTACTTGCCTTTCTCTTTTTTCTTAGGATTTTCAGAGGCAAATTACTGGCACTTGCGTTTCCGCTGGTCAGGGGACGCTCCATCAGAGCTTCTGAGGAAATTCAGAAACTATGAGATCTAAAATACATAATAGGCAAGAGCGTGAGATCATCTGTTCAACAATTCAGTATTTTTTTTTTGTCAGCAGTTATAAGTTATTTGTATTTTGTATTCATTCATTGTGATGTGAAAGTCGTTTGAATAAATGTCTTAACACCGATTTGTTAACACACATGCCACTAGCATTACAGATGGAGGTCCTTTTGTTTAATAACTAAACTTAATAAGCAAAGCCCTTTTCAGTATTAACATAAAGTGATTTTGTGAAGTTATCTAACATCTTACATGTTGTTTCTTGTATTCTTAAATATTGTGTAGTGAATAATATTTTTCTTAATACTGTGATGTTATAAAGAATGTACTCTCGGTAGACCCTAAAGTCAATGTTAGACTCTAGCATATCATCCTTTTCTTCCGAAAGTTATATGACAATGAATGAACTTTAAACAGAACTGTGCTTATTTCTAAACAATGTACTCTGGCTCACTTCTCCATTGCATTGTACTTACTGTAGTCATTTCTAATGCACGCATGCACAACACTATTACAAACTTAACTTGTTGGAGAATTGTGATCTTACGATATAGATGAAATAAGAACCACCTTCTTATCCAAGAAGGTCACTCTGAGACATCAAGCACTATTAAAAATCACTTGCTTTCTATCCTAACAAGTACAGTTTTTGCACAGCTATTTATTTTGGAAGGCAGTTCCAGAAGTTCACTTCTCCAGTTTGCAGCTTTCTTTGTCTTAAGATCTATTGGTGGACAACTGATACCCCTTTTATGTGTCCCAGCATTGTCCTGTGGCTTAATAGACAGGGTCTTATCAGAGTTTTGTATAGTGAGTAATGAAGAATCAGGCCAGTCAGCATTAATGTGTATAAAATCTCACATGAAAGGTTTTTGGTACTTTCGGCAACTTTTCCAATTCTACATTGTGTTTATTTCTTTTGTATTTGCTTTCTTCTTTGTAAACCTGGCTAATGCGTCAGGTTGACATTGTGTTTTTGTGCAGGCAAGTAATTCCATCAGCAACAAATAAAACTGCGTGCATGCAGAAAGGGGTGGTTTACATTTTTTAAATTGAAATGTTCTACCCACCACAGAGGTCCCTTTTGGATTTCTTGTTACTTGTCCCCTCAGTGGGTAAAAGCTTAAGGGAGTCCAGTTACAACTTCTTGGTATCTCCATGGAAAGTCTAATCTGGAAACTAGAGTCTTCTCCCAACATGGGAACGATATTACGGTGTCTGTCTCTCCCTGGAGTGACACGTGGCTGTACCGTGTAGGGGTGTGATGTGCTGACTGACCTACTGTGCTTCTGTTTGGTGCCTGTTTGCTACAAATTGTAACACAAGTGCCTGCCAGTGGATCCTGACAATATGTATATCTTATTAACCTCATTAGTATATTTATTCTGGTGCCAGTTTTCTTTACAGGGGCTGATACCAGTGTTAATGCTGGTTGTGTTTGTACAATTCATAAAAGGTCTGAGCACTGGTCTTCTGCTGATACAGCTACATTGATCCTAGTTTTGATGGCATCAGTAGCAATAGCTATTTTTACAGCACATCATCCTGCTTATCCAAAATCTTTTTTTTTTTTTAAATTCTGCATGCTTTTTTCCCTTACGTATTTGGCAGCTGAAAATATTATAGAGATGAGATTAATAATTCTTATAATATCTGCTAAATGTAATTACGAATTTTCTTCTAGTGCCTGTACTGCTTTCCTTTGTATAAAGGTATTTGCTCAAGAAACACTTTCAATCCATTTTATAGGGAGGGACTGTGAAGGATGTTGAACAGTAGTAACAGAAGAAACTCTAGTTCCTGCGAAGGATACAAACTAATAGGGTACAATTTTTCTCTCTTTAACAAAAAGATGGAAGTGCAACCAGCTGGAGTACTTTGAGTCAGATGGCAGCTCAGATTCTCCTCTCCCTGTTTCGCTTGCTCGTAAAGGTAAAAGCGGGGTGGGCAGTTGGATGGATGAGTTAGCACCTAACCAGCTGCTTTCCCTTGAGAAGTGAGTATACAATAGACCTTTGAACAGCAAACTCATTTTTCCTGTCATTAAAATCGATGTCATTATTAGCCAATTATTACATGGTTTGTTTTGGCAAAGCACCTTTAGGTATTTGTTCCAGATGAATAAATGCAGATGTTTGGGAGACTCTTAGCCTGGTGAAAGCTGATGGCAAAACTTGCATTTTGTGACATACCCACTACAGATCAGTACTCTAATTTGTATTTCCCCTACTGAAGCAGGCAGATTATTAACTGGTGCTCTAGTACGCCAATCTAATACAGATTTTTTTTTTTCTATTTATGTGTCTATTTAACTTGAAACAGTCCAATTTTCTGTATTTCTCAAATAGAGTTGAATTAACCTCTTCTTAGCAGAGCACACCCAGAGGAAAGCAAGAGGGAGCTGTGCAGCCTATTTTGCTTTTGGGACAGCATTGGTGTGACCTGAACCTGTTGGCCAGTAAGAACAGTTAACTGGAATAAGTGGGCAGCCCAGTTCTCCCTCATATTAGCTAGGAACGAAATATGCACTGGACAAATTACTCAGTCTTACATCATTCAGGGCTCACCCCCCAAGCATAAATGGTTTGGGTTTTTTTTTAATATATAGTATTTTTGTAAGTTTTTTTGCTAGTAGCATGAAAAGATGCAGCAACTGTCTAATATGACATTATGCACAATAACGTGGTGCCTTGGCCTCTGCACTGGTAAGCACATAACATGCTTGAATATTAATTGGAGCAGGGGTTGTAAGGTGGGTTGGTCTCTCAAGCTCTGCGAAGATGCGATTAAGAGGCAGTAGAGTCAGGCACACCTGGTTTTTCAGTGGCCAGAGCAGAACTTAACTTTCTTTGCAAAGTGGAAAAGGCCGTGAAAGGAAAGTGGTGAGTGTGGGGAACAACAGCAGCAACAACAGATGCTCTTGGTTAGAATTAGGGTCCATCAATCTCAACCTGGGGGAGAGGGCAGCTACCTGCAAGGGATGGTGAAGTCTCATTTTTGTCTTTAGCGCTTCCTGTGAGTTGTTTCTGTGGGTTAACACAGGGTCCTGAACCTTCTGGGTTTCTGAGGGGTCTGACTTGGTGTGTGCTTCTGCTATACAGCAATTGGGCATTACCATGCTTGAGTGCTTTATCAGCTATAGCTCTCAATGACTTAGCTTAGTTTGGTATGAAAATACAGAGACCTGTGAAGTGAGCCTAGATCCTCTGGAGTGTACTCAAAACTGTTGATTAAACTTGGCTGTTACTGGACTTGCGAGGGCTCAGGAGAGCTGGGGAGGGACTTTTTACTGGGGCATGTAAAGATAGGATGATGGTGATGATAAAATACAGAGACTAGGGCACACTGTTTATTATTGTGTTTCTAGGTCTCTGAAACTGTTTCAACCAGTTTGTAATATCAGAAATGAAGGAACTATTTAGTCTGCTGTTTACAATGAAATTTAACAGCTTGGGGGTTGGAGGGGTCTAGAATTATATAAAATTAATATAACTTTAGTTACTGCTGTCATTCCTGTTCTTGTACAAATGATGAATATATAAGATTGGGAATGTTCTAGTTTTTCACAGACTTTTTGTTTTGCCAGTATTTGCCAAGTTCTTTTGCCAACAGTTCCCAAGTTTTGATGATGAATACAGATAGAATATGACTAAAAATCTCCGGCTGAATAATGCTGGACGATAGGTAAGGTTGTTTCCTGAATGCTTGCTTTCTTCTTTGAGTGAGAGGGTGGAATAAAAAAAAGAAGTGGGCAGTTTATATGTTGTATAATAGAAGCAAGTATCCTGATGATTAAAACAGATAGCAGGTAGCTTTAATTTCCTGAGTGTGAACATTGCTATCTTACACTTTCATATCCTGAAATGAGGGACAAGGCTGCTGGGAAGGTAAGCGGTGAAGCTGCTGTGAAGCTGCTGAAATTACACAGCAAAAGATAAAGCAACTCAGTAAGCTGTCAGCCTCTGTCACTGTCAGATGGGGTGATATTTATCAGTTAGTTTATGCTGGGTATTTTTATTGCAACCCAGCATACACGCTCATCCTGCTGTTAATAGCGTTGCCAAGCCTCCCCGCAATGGCAGATACTGCGTATGTTTGTTCTTTCACCTCCACTATATCAGTCTCTGCTCCCTCCTGTGTTAATGAAGGTGAGACTCTTGGTGTGCTCTGTTTGTCCCAGCTTTGAAAGGCTTGTGTCTTGAGCCATTGCAGTGGGGCACAATATAGACTGGGAACCCTTACAACTTTTAGGTCTCTGATGGATATCTTAACCTGTCACAGGTGATGGATGCTGGAGAAAACAAATTTGCCTTCCTCTCTATTCCATCTTCACAGTGGTTTACTCTTGCTCCCTTCTTTTGGTTGGGCAGTGAAGAGGGGCTACTCCTAGAAAATGAAACTTGCTGCCAATGTTTGCTGGGTTCCCAGTTGTGATGTGGTTCTCAGTGCTTTGGACAAAATGATTTCCTGGCTTTTTTGTCAAAACCGCTTCAAAAATATCAAAGCACTCTTGGCACCAAAGGCCGAGAGCCCTTCTAAGGAGATGTAGTTTTACTCTCGGGCATCAGTCCTTACAGAAACTAGATTTACTTTGTCAGGATTGTCAGAGCTGTTCCTTTACTTAGAAGTTAGTTTCCACGGGACGCCCAAATGTATGCTGGGTAGAGGATTGTCAGCTCCTCCTCTTTCTCGTAAACAACTCTGTATGAATGATATCGATGGGATGGATGGGCAGGAGACTGAGCAGAAAGGTCCAGAGGAGTAAGAGACTGTTCCAGCTGGTCGGGCCTGGGTTCCTTCGGTGCTTTCCGCTACTTTTGGTCCTCACCCTCAAACAATCTTGAGTCTTCCCTGGGATTCCTATGCCCATCCTTGGCCTGCCACCGCCAAGGGACTGGGCTGCTTGCTTCAGTGTGAATCGCTGATGATAAAAAGGAGCCTGGACATCTTAAGGACCTCTCTGCTTAGCTGGCTGGAGGCACCTTGATCCCTGAAGTTACTGTGCAGGGGGCCTGAGCCAGGTTTGGGGGAGGAAAATTGCACCAGCTGGCAGAGACGCAGAGCAGTACCATGTTGAGCCCAAATGTACCTTCTGGGGTCTGGACTCCAGCACCAGGTTCATTACTGGCTTGCTCTTTCCCACGTACAGCTGAGGTTTGAAGAGGAACACAGATCAGAACGGTAGCGCTTTAACTCTGCTACAAAATGGAGATTAAAAGTGACAGGAGTCAAGAGGAGAGCACTGAATCCGGAA